TTTAAAAAAATATATCTAATGTAGACACTCAAAGCATGCACCTAGATAGAATTGTGGGAAAACCGAGTATTGCCTTCTGATTCCTCACTCTCATTATGTATATTCCTCTCTGAGAACTTTGAGATACTCATTTCACCACTGTTGGCATCTCCTTCCTTGGAGATATTCCTTCCAAAAGACATTTTATTTTAAAATATACCATTAATATATGAGCCCAAACAAGGAGGTCCTGTTAGTAGAATTTCAGGCAGTAGGTCATCAACAATATTTAGAAATCTGTTTCTCCCTCAATTTCCACTAGGTGGAAGTCAGCACACTGTCTATAAACAAGGTCTGCCCCATAGGAACCAAGGGGCTCAATGGGAGAGATATAATGGATATAGTGGCTATAAAATATTAAGCAGCTATGCATAGCTGTTGTATCTGAGAGTGGAAAAAGTGCTCATCAAATTGTTAGCTCAGATTTAGGTTTAACAATCTAGGAAAGATTAAGAGTGCAAAATTAGATGTCCAGCAGAGGGCGTATTTAAATTACAAATCATGATTTTTATGCAAAATTTTCTGTTTTTAGAAATATATTTTTTATTTTTAGGTTCTTTATGTAGTTTTTTCCCCAGCTTTATTGAACTATGATAGACAATTAGTTGCTCATATTTACATTGTACAATTCACCGAGTTTTTTTCAATTATAGTTGGCATACAATAATATATTAGTTTCAGTTGTACAGCATAGTGATTAGAGATTTATATAACTCACAAAGTGATCGCCCCACTAAATCTAGTACCACTCTTCCCCCTTACATGTTTATTATAACATTATTAACTGTTTTCCTTATGCTACACTGTGTATCTCCATGTCTGTTTTGTAACTATTCATTTGTACTTCTTAATACCTTTGCCCTTTTTCACCATCTCCCCAACATGCCTCCCATCTAGGAGCCCTCAAAATATTCTCTGTATCTATGAGTTTATTTTCATTTTTTTGTTGTTGTTTATTTTGTTCTTTAGATTCCACATGTACGTGAAATAATATGATATTTGCCTTTCTCCTGTTGTTGGCCCCTTACAATAATTTTTAGTCTATGGTGAATTTAGAGATTCTAAAATAAAAATTTAGCATGCTCTATTTAAATGTTAACAAGACAAAGGTTCCTCTTTATTTCTAAATTTTTAACTTACTAACTCCACAGAAGCAAATTAAGCTATCTCTGGCTTAGAACAACATCTCCACCACAGATGAGGATGGCAAGCATTTCTGATATGTCACTTTGGATTTGTTTTGGGGATGGGGAAGCTAGGGAGGTAGAGGGGACTTTGAACAGTGTTTAAGAACTTAAACCTTTTCCTGAGTAAAGGGATTTCTGTAACTGTGTGATTCTTACATTGCATTTTTTTTTCAATTTCAAACATGCCTTTATTTTCCATAAGTACACCGATTTTAATTCAGCAATGTAAACATCCCTGGATCTGACGATTCAGTATCTATATGGGGTTTAACAAGTGATTTCCTTGACAGTAGATGCTTCATTGCACTGAAGCGATCAGTGGTCAATCTGTTTGTAACCTGAAGTCCTGAATTCAGACCAGGAGTTACATGGGTTTTATTGCCCTCAGGTTAGAATTGAATACCAATGTGCAGAGCCCTGAATTAAAGATATATTGCTTCTTCATAGAGCTTGCATTGCATTTTTAAGTGCATTCTTATCTAAAAAAAAAAAGCCCAAACAAACAATGTGCAAACTATTCTACCACCTGTTTAAAAGAAGAATGTGTTCTTGAGTTTACATATGAATAAAATATTTCCAGGTAGATAATGTAAAAGATATCTTTCAGGTTCTGAGGCAGATACTCATGCATACAATTTTGTGTGAGTACATGGTGTGGGTAAGGAGGAGCCCTGGGTTTGTAGTTTAGAAATCTTATGGCTCTGTGAATCCCTGGACCTTCTCTGCCTCATCTGTGAAATCCAGAAGCAAGAATATACCCTCTGAAAGTCAAAGTCATCCTAGTGGGATCTTGGAAACAAACTGAACTGTGACTCTCTGATGTATGGCCATCTGTGACCTTTGGCCATGTGATTGATCTTGCTGGAGTTTGATCATGAATGACCTGTTGGTTCTAGAGGAGGACCCATTCTCAGGTCCTGATATAGAATTCTGGCTTCTTCACAGAGTGGTTCTGTCCACTTCTCTCTTGCATTAATCCTTTACTCCAGCCAATTGATCTGTGACCTCGGGGCTTTGTTCTTGTCCAGAGAAAAATTTTACCTGCAAGCCCCTGCCTTTCTTGCTACTTGGAAGTTTCTCCAACTGCTAAGGGCCCCACAAGCATTTGGTAATCACTTTTATTTCTACACTCATGGTGCAATAATTTTCTGTATTGCTGTTTGGGCCCTTGGCATATTTCACTATGTTCATCTGAGTATCTAAAAAGATAAAGAAGTCTTGCCCTCTTATGTGTCTTGTGTCTACCCATAGTTAAACTATTGTTCTATCAAATTTTCTCTCCTATTTTCCTTCGAATGCATTTTTCCTAATCTCTTCCATTAGATTTGATATAAAGTTAGTCTCTCTTTCTCTGTCATCACGCTGTCCTTTGAATTGTTCAAAGGAATATTTTTGAATTTCTTTTCTCTTTGTCCAAGTCTTTTCCTCTAATGGTGGTGATAATTAGCAGTGAAATGATTAAAAATAATGACGACGGCTTGCTATCATTGTTATCTTTTGAGTACTTATTTTGTCCTAGACACTATTCAAAGCACTTTATATATATGAATCATTTAATTCTCATTATAGTCCCATGAAATATGTACCTTCATTATGCCATGTATAGTTAAGGAAACAGAGGAACAGAGAACTTGTCAGAGGTTACATACTAGAAGATTGCAGATCCTGGATTTAAACGAATGGACTCTACCCACTGCCTCATCTTGCTCCTTGAGAGATGGATAGTAGTGGAAAGGAGTAGAAGCAACTGTCCTGGATAAACCCACATTTGTCATCAGTACGCAGACATCTTTCAGAATATGTGAGAACTATTGGGGATAAGGAAGGCAGAGCCAAAAGAAAGTGGAGGATTGCACAATTGTTTTGTGAATTTACCAACTTGAGAAAGCCAGTCTGGATAATTAAGTCATAGGTTTTTTTTTTTTTTTGTCCTCGATTGTGTAAGTTTTTACTAAGAAGGCTAGCGATAATAAAACTGTGATTAATGTTTCTGAGAGTCGAACATTCATCTTGTGAGCATGTTTGCATATTTTACCTCTGCTTATAAAGACCAAGCTAATGGTTTTGTTTTTTCATTAAGAAATTACAGAAAAAAGCTATTGATTCACTAACTATGCTTTCTTATTGGCATGTAGCTATGCGTTGTTCACATCTTAATATGTATAACTTCAGAATATTTTATTTTACCCAATGGGAAACTATGAACAGTGAGATTTCTTATACAAAAAGTGAATACTTGAACTATGCTAGTTCCATATGCCTTTATTGGCATTTCAGAGACTTATCCTTTCAACCTGATTTGACTTCTGCAAAATAGCTTTTTGGGAAATGTAGTTTTCTGATCTGTGAAGCTTGGAAATATAAAGAAATAAGCAATTGCTCAATTCATATTCAGATCCCAGCTTTCTTAAAAACTTACCTTAAAGCTGTGCTCTATTAAGGCACTGTTTTCAGACTTTAGTGTGCATAGGAATCACCCAGGGAGCTAATCAAAATGCAGGTTCCTAGGCTCCTTCCTCAGAGACCACTTCACTCCCCAGGTGATTCTGATGCAGATGTCCTCAGGATGCCAGAATAGAATGGAGGAGGGGACGTGGAGTAGGAAGAACAGAAACTCAGTACTCTGGGAATCCAAGCACAGAAGTACCAGGGAGCAGATGACCTTTCATCAGAGCTATTCGAGGAGCTGTCTGAAGTCTAGTCTCCACCTCATAGGAGACTTCAACCCTTTGGTAATAGGAGACTATTCAAATCTAGATTACAACTGTAGTGAGAACCATCGATGCGAGTATATTCTCTAGGTTTGGGGAAGAAGGAAGTCAGTCTGCAGAGGGCCGAGTGCTCACTGTGAGTCACAGTGGGCCTAGGTTAGCAGGCAGAGTGGGAGAGGGAGAGGTATCTAGGTCTAACCATTTTGCCATAGTCTAAGGGGCTGGGTTTTCAGCCTGCAGGCTGCACACTAGGAGGCAAACATGGAGCTATTACAAAAAATAGGCTGTATGTGGAAGAGGGGCCAAAGAAAGCCTGCCACCCCTGCCCCACCCTGCCACGAGACAGTGAACCAAAGGCAAAGAGAAATGTCTAAGGAGGATTCTAGGTGGTTTCTGTGGGATGTGTGCTGTAAAACTTTTTCTCTGTCTCAAATGGAGAAATATGAAATAATTCTGTATGTTTCACCAAAGTTTCTTCTTTTGGGAGACTCTTGATAGGAAATAAGATGGCGGCAGCTTTCTGAGCTCCATATATGTGCTTTAAACATTTTCTTAGATCCAGTAAGTCATTCATTTCCCACCTACATGAATTATATTACAATTTTTCAAATCTATATTTTATAGATGTTGTGAATGATAAAATACAAATACATTTTAAAAAGACTTCTTGAGTTCACAGTAGATTTTAATGGTGGATTTTCTCAATCACTTTTGTGGTTGGGTCCGAGGTGTTTTTGAACTTAAAATGGAGTAGAATCCCCTGATCTAAGGAATCTCAACTATATCTTCAATTTGACTATAAAGTACTCCTCCTCTATGCAAAACACTGTGCAGTGACTATTATGTCATTTATGATGGAATTTTTTAAAAAAGAATAAAGATAAACTGCCTTTTGGTTTGACTTTAGCAAAACATTAAGACAGAATAAATATAGAGGTGTATCTATAAAGTATATGTACTTAAAACCATCACATTATTTGGCTTTATAATTGTGTGAGAGAAGGCCTATTGTTCAGTAAGAACATGCAGATCCAGAGACACTGATTCCATTTCCTTTCCCCAGGCTCTGTTGTGTGGTCTACTTGTTACATGTCCTCAGGACCCGCTGAGATATTTAGAGGAAATGATCATTATTATAATGAGAAACGGTCTTGAAAATCTTCTATGGTGAGTATTATTTTGATTTGTAGTAGTGAGATATTTTGAAGGCAAAACACTCATTGTATATTATCAAAAAAGACCTTGCCAATGAATGCGTCTAATCTCAAGGTTGTTAAAGAATCTCTCCACAGGCTTCTAAGTTGCAAAGACTTTGATAGGAATTATTTGCCTACTGATTCTCAACTTGAGGAGTACGTATAGTGCATTCGCATTAATATTATGTACTCAGTTTATTTCGAATTGGAGATGAGAAAAGGGAGGCATGCTCTCTTGGGGAGCACAGCAAAATCTCGAGGGGGGATAGGTTGTAAAAGCCCTCCTCTTGATTCTGATATGTGTCTCCCAAGGGGACGAGTCTCTTCCTTCCCTTTCCTTACACTCTCCAAAGAACCACTGATTCAATTATGGAAATAACTACTATGAAATGAAATTAATTTTTGACTATGTTTAATGATTTTATTACAGGGATATGTGCATTGATCCATCAATGAAACCAAAAATTCGGAGATTATCTGACACTTATTTGGAACAACTTTTTGGATTGGATGATCAGCTGGTAAGTATTAGTAATCAAACATTCTAAAATATACATCTTAAGTTTTGGTGGAAGTTTTGAAATAGAATTTAGTTTTATGAATTGTGTGAGATCAGGCTGATTTTGCAATGGAGGGCACTCAGAAAAGGAACATCACACACACAGACACGCAGCCACACTCATAGTAACCTCCTCTCAATCTAAATGCTTATTTCCAAGAAGCATTTAGACAAGCCTTTGTTCTTCCTCTTGCTGATAAAATCTTTATGTTAAATTTCCCTTTTCCTCCTTTTCCTTCCCCTCCTCTCTTGCATCTTTATAATGATAAAAATAGCATTATGGAAAGCTTTAAAAGAAGATATTTTCTTTCCTTTCTAATCTGCTTCCTTCTGTATTTCATCCCCCTTCATTCTTTTTGGCATCTGCCCAGGAATTTTGCTCGTGAAAGATATGGCCAAAACATTAATGAGATCTAAGTTAAAAGTCAGACCAATTGTTAATGAAAGGAACAACCAGCTCCAACAGCTGTTTTTGATTCTGTAAAGAGGGCAAGAAAGTAATTTAGGATGTGGGGGCTTTTAGAACAAAGACTATATATCTAAGAGAAGCTAAAATAGCAAAAGGCATGTAGGGAGAGAAATATTGACACAAATTAGATGTGTATGGGATCATATGTGATACATCCAGATCCCAGGCTGACATCTAGGTAAGCGCAGGTAGGGCTGGGTTGTTGCCAGTGAAGCCAGGCATTGAAAAGTAGAATCAAAGACACAGTCAAGGTGCATGCTGAGAGCCAGGGACAATCTGAAGCATCATTTAGAAGGATGGGTGGAGAGTAACAATGGATTCTAATCAGTAGTCTGCAATACGGAGATAGAAATAGAGGGATGGAATATTTCTGCCAAGCCTGGGATGATTCTGAGGCACCAACACACTGGGAAGAGCCCACAAGTCTGATCCTTGTTGATCTGCATCATGGTGTGTGGGTGTCTTAATGACTTTAATTTATCAACCACAGACCTTTGATCTACCAAGGAGAGTGGATATCTGCAAATCAAGTTCCTGGAGATATTTTGGGGCACCCTGAACTGAGAGGGGAATCAGGGGATGAGATTCTAAGTCCCCTATGCTCACTCCTTACATGCTAGAATCATTCCACTTTGAATATAATGTCACTTGAAAACCATTGATATAAGATACTAAAACTGTTAAAAACCACTGATCTAGAGGAGTAAACCTCACTGTCAATATTTTGAAAGCGAACTTATAAAATGCAATTCCAAGAGATACCATAGCTACTTCAAAAGTCGAGTTTTATTAAGAAGGGAACTCTCAGATATTTCATGATGCTGCAAGCACAAAGGATAAAATGTTGGAAGCTGATCCTGACTTAGAAAGAAGTATGATAATTCACTAAGGCATAGAAAAGGTGCCCATTTCATAAGTTAGGAAAAATAGAAACTAGAAGTCACTTCGCAAAATGTAAATTTCCAGGTGCCTAGGATTGCTTAGTTAGAGGGTTCAACCTAGGATGGATATAGATTAATTCATTTCTCCTTCACCCTTAGAGAAAAATGAAAAGTTGTTTTTTTTTTTTTTTTACAAAAAAACAGGATACGAATTTGCAATGTTTCCAATATTTTAAATTACATATACTAAATAATTATTAGCTTTGCTTAAAAATATTTTTTCTGTATAGTTATAACTATCAGTAAGAGAGTTTTTAATGTTTTGATAAAACATTACAATTGTTTGACAAACAACTGTAAGTTTTCCCATCGATTATTAAGATCGCTTTGTATGGTTTCAGCATGCAGTCATTTTTATGGTCTTACACCACACAGTCCCACACAGCAAGACTCTCTGTACGTGATTATTTATAAATATATATTTGTTTCTATTTATGCAAACAGATTTAGTACAGGAAACTGTAAGTCAAATAGTTATAGAAAAAATAGGAACTGTTCTTGTAACAGTAGATAGAAAGTTTGACTCTGTTCCCAAGATGAAAGAATCAACCATTGTAAGAAGGAAACTAACTTCACAGACTTTATTCCCATTTCTTAGAAAATTAAATCTCCAGATGGGCCTACCAATTACAAGAAGAAAAGACATCTATAACATTTAAAAGATCTTATTATGAAAAAAAATAACACAAAAGTAGAAAGAATGCCATAAGGTCCACCATCATCTAGCTTCAACAATAATCAACATTTTGTCAATCTTGCTAATTATTCTCCCCTTTTCTTTTTTTGCTGGAGTATAAGAAAGCAGATACAATTCCCAGGAATTGTATTATTTTACCAAGAAACATTTAAGTGTGCATCTCTAACAGGAAATGGTACTTTTAGAGAACATACCACAGTGTCATTGTCTACGCAATGAAATTAGTATTAATTCCTGACTATAACCCAGTGCTGATTATATTCAGTTATATAAAGTCTATGTTCAGTCCATATTCAGGTTTCCCAAATTGTCTCAAAAGTGCCTTTTTACATATGGCTCCAAGTTGAAATTCATACAGTATCCACATATTGGCTTGGTTGTTATGTATCTAATGTCTCTTGTAATTTACAATAGTTAGTTCTTATTTTTTTCCACGCCACTTATTTATTGAAGAAAACAGATCATTTGTCATGTAAAAGGTCCCACATTCTCATTGGTTCCTCTGGTGTCATTTCATTTGTTCTGTTTCTTGTATTTTCTGCAAGTTTGTAGTTACACCTACAAACTTAATAATGTTCAGGTTCTTTTCTCTTGGTGACAAGAATATTGCATAGCGGAGTTGTATTCCTCCTAATGTATCACATCAGGAGGCACCTATGGTCTGGTTGACCCACTTTTAATGAATCTTGATTCCTATAGACATTAATGTAATTGATTTTTGTTTTATTCTACGATATACATATAATGATTTTGGAATAACAATACCACAAGACCACTAACAATAAAACAACTGAATGCAGTTCAAGAAAATTATGCAGTTCTTTTTGTCTTTAAGATGTATGTCCTATCAGGTATTTTCAGTAAAAATAGTAGATTTTTTTGTTACCTGAATTAATTCTTTTTTTGTGTGTCAATGGTAACCTTTTTTCCTCTTTGATATAATTATGCTCTTTCAATTATGTATAACATTATGTGGCAGCAAAATTAAAACAATAAAATGATGAGTATTTTGAGAGTATCGTTTCTATTTCTGCCTCTATATCCCTTTCTCTAGGTAACTAATTTATCTTTGTCCATTGCTGCTTTTTGAAAAATTTGAGCAAAAACACTATATTCTCCTCAACTTTGACTTTTCCACAGAAGTAGCAGACTATATATAGCCTTCTGCTTCTTGCTTTTCTTACTCAGTATGTCCGAGAGATTACTCCTTTATATGACTTTTAAACTAACGCTATCACAATATACTATGCTCATAGATAGGAAGAATTAACATCGTTAAAATGTCTATACTACCCAAAGCAATCTATAGAATCAATGCAGTCCCTGTCAAAATACCATAGCACTTTTTACAGAACTAGAAGAAAGAACCTTAAGATTTATATAGAACCACAAAAGACCTTGAACAGCCATGGCAATCTTGAGAAAGAACAACAAAGTTGGAGGTGTCATGCTACCTAATATCTAACTATACTATAAGCCTATAATAATCAAAACAGCATGATACTGGCGTAAAAACAGACACATAGATCAGTGGAACAGAATAGAGTGCTTATAAATAAACCCATGCCTATATGGTTAATTAATCTATGATAAGGAGGCAAGAATATACAATGGGGAAAAAAGAGTCTATTCAATAAATGGTGTTGAGAAAACTGGACAGAGTTGCAAAAAAAATGAAATTAGACTACTTTCTTACATCATGTACAAGGATAAACCCCAAATGGGTTAAAGACTTACATGTAAGACACAAAACCGTAAAACTCCTAAAAGAAAATATAGGCAGTAAACTCCCTGAAATTGCTCTTAGCAATATGTATTTTTTATACATATCTCCTTGGGCAAGGGAAACAAAAGGAAAAAATAAACAAATGAGACCACATCAGACTAAAAAGGTTTTGCGCAGTGAAGGAAACCATCACTAAAATGAAAGGACAACTTGCTGAATGGGAGAAGATATTGGCCAATGATATATCTGATAAGGGGTTAATATCCAAATTTTATAAAGAATTCATCTATGACTCAACACTAAAAAAACAAACAATCCAATTAAAAAGTGGGCAGAAGATCTGAATATATATTTCTCTAAAGAGGGCCAATAGACATATGATAAGATGCTCGAGGTCACTAATCATCAGAGAAAAGCAAATTAAAACCGCAATGAGATATCACCTCACACCTGTCAGAATGTCTCTCATTAGTCAATAAATAAGTGTTGGCAAGGATGTGGAGAGAAAGGAACCCTCATGCTGTTGGTGGGATTGCAAATTGTTGCAGCCACTATGACAAACAGTATAGAGCTTTCTCAAAAAATTGAAAATAGAACTACCTTATGACCCAGCAATTACACTTCTGGATATTTATCTGAAGAAAACCAGAACACTAATTCGAAAAGACATATGCATCCCTACATTCACTGCAGCATTACTTACAATAGGCAAGATATGGAAACAATTTAAGTGGCCATCAATAGATGACTAGATAAAGAAGAAGTGGTATACATATACAATGAGATATTGCTCAGCCATAAAAAGAATGAAATATTACCATTTGCAACAACATGGATGGACCCAGAGGTATTATGCTATGTGAAATAAGTCAGACAGAAAGCCAAATACCATCTGATCTCACATGTATGGAATCTGAAGAACAAAATATACAAACAAAACAGAAACAGAAACAGACTCATGGATATAGAGAACATTTAGATGTTTACCAGATGGGAGAGGGGGTTGGGGGATTGTGTGAAAAGGTGATGGGATTAAAAAGTACAAATTAGTAGTTACAAAATAGTGACAGGGATGTAAAATCCAGCATAGGGAATATACTCAGTAATAATTTAATAACTATGTATAGTG